TTTGCATTACCTGTTTTTAGTGGTAGAATGCAGCTGTCATTATCTGGGAAATTTCAAAACTGCACATTGGTCTTCTTCAGTTTCCCGCTGTCCATCCATGAACAACATGAAGGGGGGTACCTATAGTTAATGTATGTTTTAATTGATCTGATAGTAGTAAAAACTTTTACATGTCCGCCATTGTCACATATGAGGGTCCAGTCCTAATCAACGTAGCCCAGATATCCCCCTCACCAGCCATATCTCAGCTAGGGTTGTTTCGTTTTGGGGTCTGCCCACTAATCTCCTTCAGGGTGTCTGAGCCTGTCCCCCTATCTTTAGGTGTGGGCCCTGCCACCCTGCAAAAGTCATGACCATAGATTTGCGTTGCGGTAAATCAACAGGTAAATTAAGAGCTTTGCTACAATGTTCCAGAACAGTGAAGACTAAAGCTACGTTCACGCTGCAGGCCTTAACGCTCAGTTGCTATTTATTGCCCAGATTTGAACTGTTCACATAATTTGTTTAATGTGGCCCATATCAGACTCCAGTGTGCTAGCGCCGAATTGCAATGACGGTCGCACTAGAGTGATGTCAGAGTCACATGAATTTAGATCTGACTGTTCGGACTGAGGTTGCATATTTAAATAATCTGACCTGTATCTGATTTGGATACAGTGGCTGGGGCTATATCCAGGTTCAGCCTGAAGATGTAACATGGAACCACCACTGTGTGGGCCCACCACCAGCAAGGGCAGTAAAAGGTTAAGAGGTAGTGGTTGGGTGTGCTGGCAATCATGCGTGAGGAAGCTGAAAATAATTTACCTACTTACAAAAGCGATTGGAGTTACATGTATTTTCTATAGAAGTATACACCATTTTTGTAGGCTTATTCTAGCTTCATCTTGTTTGAATTTTTGCTTTAGGATCATATTCACAGTATATTAGCTTTTTATAAGTATATTAACATATTTACAGTTACCGATACCGACTGCCTGAGATATAATTTTGTAAATAATAAACTTCTACACTGGCTCCATCTGTTCATTTGACATAATATCATCAGTGAGCGCTGTTTTTTTTCTGGCCAGTGTTTTGCTCCACAGTAATAGAGCTTGATGGACATCGGTGACAGTGGTTTCACACTACATTTTTAGTTTATTAACACATAAACTAAAATTGTATTTAAAAACCTGCTTTCCATCCACTAGACACCCCATACATAATACATAATGTCAGAATGGGCTATTTAAATACGAAATGGTTAACATACTAAGGAACGTGTCTTTCTTCTGCTGTTTGGGGACCCCACTGATGTTGAAATACTAGGCTTTACACTACGTTAAGGCTCTCGTCTCGCTGTGTTTGCATAGATAGGCCTTTATGGATGTTTTTTGTGTAGAGGGCTCACAGTGTGCACACAGCAATACATATGAAACATGAATAATGTCAGTAGGTAGGAGGTCAAGTTTGTAAAGCTATTTTTATGTAACTAAACATTGTACAATAACACAGAAAGGACATTTTGATAGCTAATATTAATTTAAGCAATTGTTGCCATCAGAGCAGTGATGGCACAGGTAGTGTGATACAATATAAGGGTAGCACTTTACAATACAGCTCGGTAATAACGTAATAGTGAGATAATAGTTTGAAAATAAAAGATGTAATTACCAAAGTCATAACCATGTGATAGCTTAGTATTAGACACTGGTGTATCTGGGTAAGATTGTCCTGGCATTTATCTGTTGCCATCTTTAAATGTTTCCCCATAATTACCCATTTTGGGCCCTTTTTATATTATTACCTAAACTCAAGTCTAATATTACCTGGTTATTACTTTAGTGATTAAATGGTATTACAAATTATTAAACCACTATTACCGTGTTATTACATGCTGTACTGTAAAGTATTACCTCTTTGAATAATCTCATAATTTAATTTCTTTTGACTTTGTAATTTTGTCTCTATAATTCAAACTTTTGATGTTTTAATATTTTGATTTAGTATATGTTCTTTAGTATATACGTTTTGACTTATTATCTTTAGTGTAACATAGATTTGATAGTTTCTTGTTTGTTAAGTTTAACAAATCATCTCGTAATCTCATAATTTTGACTTTGTAAATCTAAAAATTCAAAAAATGATTTATTTGACCATGTCTAACTCTGTTATACCCTGTTTTTTGTTTTGTTTCTGGGCAGAAATAGACTCCCATAGAATAGGAAACACAGCAGTGGAATTTTCACTTGTCTCATTAGTATCCCTCGACGTGTGAACGGAAAGGCTTTTAGTAAAGTGCAACTTCCTCCCTACATTGTAAAGCCTTCAAGACTAATAGAGTCACCAGTGCTAATGTTGTGAAGCAGCCTCCGCAGCTGTTCTCACTTCAAACAAGCTCTAAAATCATGTTATATGTATGATGCATGGTGGGTATGCTCAAAGGCTTTCAGATTTATTATTAAGTGAATGAAGAGGTACCTGTGTGAATCAAAGCTTATTCAAATGTGCACTGGTGTCAGCTGGCATCTGTGTCTTAGCCTACATTAATCCAAGTTTGATCTGCTAGGACTTTACAGTAAAAAGCAGAGCAAACACCCACTGTGCACGTCCTTTTAAAGGAAAGAAAAATACAAAATGGTCTTACGTAGACTGTTTAGGCCATTATGGTTATCAGTTGTGATAATATGTTACTCACCAAGGTTATCCCTGTAGTCAGACAGGTATTAAACAATGCGAGGTCTTATCAGCCAAAATACCTGTAAACCTGTAAGTAAATCCTCTGAATACCTCTTCTTCCACTGTGACTATGGTAATAGATTTATCGTTTATTACCAGTTTCCGAAAAAATAAACAACAATACAAATCTGAACAGAACCAACTTTTGGTACTCAACAGCTGTGTGCGTGATTTGGGTGTACTGACCGGGCCAGTGTTTTATTCAAATTGAGAATTGGGTGATGTCTATCTAATTATCACATTGCTCAACTACTGAGTTTGGAATCTCTTATGCTAAACTGCTCTGAATGCAGCTCGCCTCAGCTAGGACTCCTGTGAACTAACTCCCATATAAATGCGCATGCTTGCTATGTAGCGTTTTTGCCTGTCAACACAGTTAAACTGAACGTCGCTTCTGATCAGCACGGCTCAGTAAACACGCTTTACACACTGTCTTTACCACCTCCTTGTATACCTTTGGGCCTCCCTCCCCCTACCTCCATCCTTTCCTTTTCTTCTTCGCCTCCTCCGCCTCAGCACCCCACCTATCATGAAGGCTCAGTGTCAGCCAATTAGGAGAGACGGTGACACTAGCCCCCCTCCGGCAGAACAAACGAAGGCTCCTTGTTTCTTTGAAAGACAAGCCACAAAAGGCTCACTCTCAAACATACTGCAGCAACAAAAGGATCACACTTCCATAATTGGCCGTCTCAGTTGACATTCAAAAGGCGACCTATTCTCTTCAGATTGGAGACAATAAACAATACGGCATGAATAAAACATTAATCACAATTATTCCTGTCAGGGATATAAACAAATGATTGCCTTTTGTAAATATTTCATCTGCGGCATCTTCTTGCCACGTTGCTGTGTGTGGCCCTGAGAAGGGTTGAAAGGGATAAGAGGAGGGGAGAGGATCTTTCCGTGCTTGGGCATTTGGTTAACCATTAATTGGGCCAACACCGAACGGAAGTAGCTTTAATCTTCTCGCTGCTATCTCCTTCACCCACCTCCTCCTCCCTCTCGATCCTCTCCGCTCACCTCTCCAGCCTCCCCGCCTCTCATCTCGATCCCCTCTCCCTCCTTTCATCTCTTCGCCCTATTCTCGCCTCTTAAACACCCCCACCTCCCTCGTCTTCCCCTCGATTGACGGATTGGGCTATCCCCTCTGTATGCTCCGCAGTATATCATCTTAGATTCGGGTTATTCAAATTAGGTTTAAATCTCATTTTTGTTTCTCCCACATTGATGCTGGTTCCAGTTCAGACCCATTTATCATTTTTCCTTTCCTCAGAGGGCAACCCTGCCATTTATAATATATGCATATTACTATTCTATGTGTGGTAGGGCTGACCAATTTATCTTGATTTGTATGTTTAAACTGCAATTTGAGTACAATTTTTAAATTGCACCAGCTACAATCTTAATTATTACTTACATGGTCTTATTTATCTTAAGCTGTAGATGACAATTTAAGCTGCCTGCAGCTGATTTCACCAGTTATTATCACAACTGTTAAGAAAGTCTTAATAATATTGAAGTTCTGTGAGATGGCAGTAACAACAAAGAAATGCTCTGCTGTCAATAGTTTATTTTAATTATGCTCTCTGAATGCCAGTTTTCTGTATTAGTTATGCTTGATCAAAGATGGTTCCATCAAAGAAGAAGCATTACTATTAGATCTATTATTTTGATCTTTTAAGGCTAGAGAAATCACGTGATCTCCTCATGTCAACAGAGAGCCTTAGTGAAAATGGAATAAGGATTTATTAAGTGAGAGAAACTTAAAACCTCTTAATATTTTCAGCACTCAGGGCTGTGAAGCAGTTGGTCAACAATATCATTAGGTTCAGTAGTCTAATATAAAACATTTTTATTCATAATAATAATAACGTGTAACGCTGCTATACCACCAGTGTTATTCCATTTTCTAAAGAAAACTTTACTTAGAAGTTGACCCTTTGGTAACCCTGGGAGGACCTCAACAACAACCATTAGTACAAAGCATATCTTGTTTACTACCATGTAGACCAGAATTACAGGCCAGTATTTGAATTTACAAAATTTGATCACAATATTGGCCTGAAAAATCTCATTTAACCATTTTCCTCTAGTCATTCAGTCCTAGTGTATACACTGTAGCTTATTCAGGGGGAGCTGTGCATGAGGATAGAGGCAGCTGGGAGGAGAAAAGAGAAACAGGCCGCCCAAGGATTAACAGAGAGATAAAGTTTTATTCTGAGACAACTGGGCATGTTTAGTACTTTGCCCCATATTATTAAGGCTTTTAACACGCTGACTGATGGCTGCAGCTGTGTTTCTAAGGATAAGAGCTGTCCCGCGGGATTCGGCATCATGTAGACTTTCAGATGTGCATTGTTCCAGTGAGACAAGAGTCATCCATCTCATACAGGATGAGCAGAACTAAGCCACTGCCCAGTCACCAGGTAATGCTTTAACACCTGAGATTGGCTGCTCTTCGTTCAATTCAGCCTTTTCTCCCATTTCATCAGCAACATGTTCCAATTTCCTGTTTCCTTCATACACTGGATATGTTAACGGATTAGTCTACTCCCTCCTGGCAGCCCCCTAAAGCACCGTTTCTTTTTCCATCACCGTTCTTCTTCGTCTTTCCTTCGCTCTTTAAGCATCTGAAAATTGTGTTGCATATTTATTCCTGCAGAATTAGCATCACAAACACTCTACCCAGGCTCTTTGTTATGCTTCAGGGGGAGGGAGAGTGAGGGAAAGTAGATTACGCTTTTCGTTTCTCTGAGGCACACTCAAAGCAGGCTTTCTAGGCTTCCTCATGCTTTTGAGCAGAGCTCGGGGCTTATGGAGACGCCCTCCATCTACTTGAAGCAAAGATGACTATGACTTAAAATAATGTTTCTCTGCCATTCCTGTTAACCACATTGTTTCCTCTCCCCCTCCTTCTCTCTCACTCCTTCCTTAAGTCTTATTATTCATCTTCTGCCGTCCATCCCTACATGTCTCTCACCTTATCCATGCAAGGAAACATTGACAACATTTGACTCTAGTTAAGCTCCAGATTTTATTACAGTTTATATATAGATAGATAGAAGTGTGGCTCAACATGTTGGTTTCCTGAATAATGAGATCTCAGCACACATAAGATTGCTGGAGTTATTTTGGAGCAAATTATGTTTTTCCATAACCAGTGTCTTTAGGTGCATATTTTGCAGTCAGCTTGCCAATGACCAAACCACATGTTTTGCATCCAGCTAGTTAGGGTTTGATCTAGCCTAGCAAATAAAGAGTTTTGCATCCAGCTACTTCAACTTAAATTAGCAAATGACATGTTGCGCACCGAGAATTGAATGAGAATTTTGCACAAAAGAATAAAATAAAAGGAAAAACAGCTTTCTCTATCAAGCATCATAATAAGCATATGGTTATTAATGAAGTTGTTTATAATTGCAAATCAGCTGCCCTGGCGGCTGATGGGTCAGGCTGCTCAGTTTAGTCTTGATAGTAATAGGGTAGTTATTGTTTTTCCATTGCAATCAGCTTTATTGCCAAGTAGGTTTTCACATATAAGGAATGTGCTTTGGTGTTTTGGTGCTAAACAACAAAGACAGCGGGAAAATAAGAGATGCTTCTTCTTTGCCACACACAACATTCAGAGGGCCCTCTAACTCAATTTTGATTAGGGAAGATTAGGGCCAGCTCTGAGAGAAAGAGACAGGGAATGACGTGCAACAAAGGCCTCCAGCTGGACACAAACCCGGGATGTTGCCTTAACCTCTAGGCCATCAGGACACCCCAAGACAGGTTTTAAATTCTCTAAAAATAACCGCTTTTAAAGCAAACTGAAAGAGGATGCACAGTAAATGTGTGATACAGCTGTCCATTGCATTGTGAAACTACAGTATGTGTGTGCGCAACAGGAGTCATATGATCACTTCAATAACTACTGGATGTTAACTGTTTGCCATCATATCCAAATATGTGATTCAGACAGTATGATTAAACCGAGTAGTTTTTAACTGTAGTTTTTAAACCTGTTTGATTGCTTATGTAATTGCCCAAATCCTCTCCATTCTAAGGCTGTGTCTGTTGCCACATACGGATTTGAATCAGTTGATAAGTAAAGCGTTCTTATTACTGAGAGGCATGAAAACTATAACAACAAACCGAGTTTGTACAATAGACAAATCCTGAACGTCTCTCTAGGAATTCTGTCGCTGGCAGTGTGTCAGCAGGTGCGCTCCTGGTAGTGTGTATGCTGTCAGTTCTGCCTGACAGAAGCCTGTCCCCGTGAGACTGATGAAAACCACAGGGGAGAGCTTGCAGCCAAACCAGGCTAAATACTCCTGACAGCGCCATGGCCCCCGGGGTCAATACCCCCCCACCACGTGTTTAATCGATGTGCCCCGGGCAAACTCTCATCCTCGGCTCCTTCCACACCTACATCCTTCTTCGTCAGTCTCCAGGCAACTCCTCACCCGACCCTGGTCTCCCCCTGCCCCTCCTATCTGCTGCCAAACCAAATTTCATTGTGTTTAACGTGCAATGACAATAAAGCATCTTTCTACCTATCCATCCATCCATCCATCCATCCATCCATCCATCCAGTGTGTAGCCGTGACAGTTAGGTCACATTCCTCTTTTCTTTCCACTCCATTTCATTCTCTTCAGGGGGACAGGGAGGATGATTGGAATTATGTTATCGGACATTTTTTGGGCTATTGTTTCTTTTCTTTTTTTTTTCGTCATTGGAAGAAATATTACGTATCTGTCCAATTAAAATTGGTAGTACACTTATTATGGTAACACACATTATTTCATATGTCAGTTACTCAATTTCATCATACCTTAATTGCATTGTAAATGACAGCAGCTGCTGTCTGAAGGGTCTGTCTTGCCGACTTGTCTGTTGACACCTGAATAATGCGACCCCCTCCTGATGTGCATGTTTTGCTTTGTTAAACTTTCCAAGAGTTAGATGAGAAGGTGGATATCAGTCTCATGTTGCTGACTAGGATGTGTTATATATCTGGAGTCAGTAGGTGGTTAGCTTCAGTGTTGGGCAGTAACATAATATTAGTACTTTTCCCAATACTGTAATGGATTACTTTGCTAAAACAGTAATATTATTACAGTTACTAATCCAAGTAACGCTGTTACTGCGTTAGAGAACACACCATCCTCGAAGTGAAGAATGGAGAACGAGGGAGAGAGGCGTTCTTTCACAGCTGTAAGTAGCTACTGCCTTTATTGTGTCACAGTCTAAGATGCAAAGAGCATTGTCGTCTAGTGTAAACTCTGTGCGACAATTAATTTACTGAAGCATCTGCTAAAGAAGCACAGCAACGTGGAACTTACAGAAAGAAACTCGCCTGGACTCGTTGGGAGAGGGTGGTGTTAACGTAACGTTTTGTAAAAATACTGAATACTGCTCTTATAAACATGCTGTGTTCATGTTAGAAAAACAGTAGTTCAAAAGGATGTACTTGCTTTATTTTTTTATTTCAGCCAAAGGCGTTAAGAGATGTTATGTTTAGTAAAAAACACGCTGCTTGCTGCTGTTGAATATGATATTAGTTAAAAAGTTGGGAGAGACTGCTTTGTCTGGGGGTGAAGGGGAATGATAGCGAAAACAATGTTTCCCATAATTATAATTTGGATAATTATCAATGCTGACGGCCACATATTGATTTTCTATTTTTTTCACTAGGTGTATTTAGAGGGAGACACGCACTGGATTTCTTTAGAAGCAACATTTTACCTACCCCACCTGCTCCTTTGTGCAGCGTCTCTGGATACAGTGTGGGCTGCCAGGTACAGTCAGTAAACACAGGGTTTGGTTTGGATCCCTGTACAAGGCAAGGTAAGTTTATTTACATAGCACCAGTCAGACACAAGGCAATTCAGAGTAATTTACATAGAAATACATTAAAATAAGACAAACTCGTCCTGAGGTTAGCAATGGTTTCTGACTGCTCAGCCATGACAGGAAAGTACAGCAGGCTGGGCCTTGACAAAAACTCCATTAATGAATAAACAAATTGTCTTTGTTTATGATCCACAGAGTCTTTTATGGCTCATTTTACCTCTCAATCGTAGAGCCCACCTCTTTACTCTCTTCCGATAAAGAATGGATGTCTTCTGGGTCCATGATGTGGTCAGTTTGTTATCATCGTGTTATAAAACACCAGGCATTCAGTGACGTTTTTGTCCGTCAGTCTGCGACATGCAGTCACATATTGTGCAGCTAAGTATGCTGCACCTCCTTCTCCTAATACAATCTGTTGCTTTTCATCTAGCTGTGTGAAGTTTGGGATTAACTAATCAAATCTGATATTTTTGTATTTGTCACATTTGAACAGTATTGACTGTTATTTGATCAGTATCAGAACCAGTTGATAGAAGGGACACATTTAGGGGTTCAGTTCTTCAGTTTGTTGTGCCTGAAATCTCAGTGTGTCTTGCAGGCTAAATTTGAGATGTCACCTTTTTTTTAATTTTAAGAATTAATGAGCAATTGATCATCAATAATCTCTCTCTCTCTCTCTCTCTCTAAAATCAGTGACCTTTAGAAACTTGTGAACTCCTTCACGCAGTGCCTGATTCTCAGAGCCATGTCAGCCAACTTCCCGTGCCAAGGATGCAACTGTCACTCCCCTCGAGGCTCGCAGACGTAGAGGCGAGCACCCGTTCAACGCTGCTTGCAGCTTTAATTCAGATTGTATTTCTGCTTGATGAAAATGAAAATAACTTGGTAAAGCTACAATGACTATGGTTTTTTTCTGTTACACTTTGCAAGTTCTTTATTGACTCATGTCAAACTGAAAAATCAATTAACTTAAACATAATAATTTTGTTTCAAACCAGCAAGGTTATGTGTCAGCATTGAAGTACCTTAACATTTTGCACATTGTTTTAAAGTTAGTTATTCCAAATAAATCTAATCTTAAAAACCTTTCTCTTCACTTGGTTTATTTCCAGTGGCATGTAAACATAGTCTCATTCTCCTGCTGAGAGTGTGTTGTTGTTTTTCAGTAGGAGAGTTTCTGTCTATATTCTCTCTATTTGCCTGTGTGTTTGCATGGAAAACAAATAGCCAATATTATTACAAGCTCATGCAAAAGTTAAGAAAAGCAGATGCCAGTTTGGCCACAAGCTCAAATGATTGTTGGTTTTGTGCCTCGCAGACCTCAGTGGAAGAATCACTTGACAACCTCATTGCAACAGAAAGAACCACAGACATTGATATTACATTAACCTAAAAGGATAGAGGTCCCAAATGAAGCACCGATCTAAATAACTGTTTATTTATGATGTAATTCAAAATGTTGTCCCTTTTTGACTTTATCATGCATACCTATTCATTTATTTTTTTCTTTAATTGGCAGAAAGGGGCTTCCATTTGAAGCTGCTCTCCACCAACACAGCTATCAACTTTTGTCACATCATTAGCTGGCAGAACTGACTCACTCTCATGTTACACCTGACCGCACACATTTGTTCTGTCTCCCACCCAGTTGGCCATAACGGCCCTAAAGCGGATTAAGGTCAGTAGCTAGGTAATCGTCTACTATGGCCTTAATGTAAGTAAGCCTGAGGGTCAAGATGCTGGCTCTGGATGCCTCCTTCCTCAGCTTGATGCCCTGACGTGCTTAGTATGGATTACACTTGCAGTGAGTACAGAGGGCCTCTGTAAATCAAGCCCCCCACCTTTCCCCCACCTTTCCCCCCCAAACCACAGTCTTTTCTTAAACCTAACCAGGTAGTTTTGTTCCCTAAACCTGACCAAACTGGAACTGTTTCACGTCACATGACTTCTGTAACGTCTTATGGTCATATATGTTGTTTTGGGAGGCGATGATAATTATTTTGTCTTTTAGGACACATTGCGCTGATCATATGTGATCATGAATTATCACACCAACAGTGTCCAAGCACATGACAAATGAGCTACTCTCTTGCACCTTTGGGATGTGTACAAATCAATCACTTCTTCATGTTTGTCTGAGTCACAAGTTCATGGGGACGCTTAAAATCCAAATTAAAGCAAAAAAAGCAATACAAATTGGCATTTCAGGGTCAGAAGCTCTTTATAGCATGAGCTGACGACTGTGGTGTGATATCCATCAAGTGGCCTTAATCGCCAAAATGCACATTTTCAGCCATAAGCTGGGCTCATCCTCTTGAAGAGGCTCACTTAGGAGGGGAGAGGGCTGCTTCTGAATGAGAGCAAGAGAAACAGACGAGAAAATGAGAGCAACAACCTGGGGTTTGCTTTGGTCTTAATCCACCGTGTAGGCTGACTGTGGCAAGGAATCTGTTGTCTTAATCCCAGCACAGTGAGAAGGAGTGGGTGTGTGATGAACCCGCACGATAACAGGAAACTAAATTGGAAAAGACACACAGAACGACTGCACATCTCCTCCCACCCAAAAACAAAAAACACTAAAGAGACTGATCAAAGTAGGTTAATTGAAAATTTCACTTCTTTTGTATCTCTCTTCCAGCCACCACGACCTCCAGATGAATCTCCCGTGGCGCTGAAAGATGATAGAGATGTTATATATAGATGCAGAGCAACAGCCTGTTGGCGATGAATGCTTGTATGAAAATGCTGTAAAAAATCATCTTCAAATCATGTTGTGAGTGTGACTAGCTGAGTCTCTGAACATGCTGAAAGGATCGTTCTACCCTTCTATGGCAGGCTGCTCATACGGTCCAGGAAGTAGTCACACAGTTTTGGCTCTAGCAATCACTGTTTTGCAGATTATAGCTTTACATAAGTTTTTTTGAAGAATATAGTTACATAGGAGTAGATCAAATGTCCTTTTTCCCTAGCAGCTTTTTCCAGAGCCTTCTCAGAGAACCACGTGTTCTCCGAGGCTGGCAGGGGAAATGTAATCCTTCAAGTGTGTCCTGGGGTCACCTCCAAAGACAAGCACCCAGGAGGCACCCTTACCAGATGCAGAATTTGCAACTGGTACCTCTCAACCTTGATACCATAAAGGTCCTCCTGAATGAGTTCTTCTCTATCACAGAGTCCTAGCCACATTGCTAACAAGTGTCATTTTAATCCCTCTTTAACCTCATTCATTCAGTCACTATCCAAGCTTAGAAGCATTTATGTGCTTTCATGCATAAAAAGTAAAAGTAGTAAGTAGTAAAAACTACTCCATTACAAGTGTTCTACATTCATAATGCACTTACTTCTATCGGTTTTGGTCACTTGGAAGCATTGGAACAAGTTGTAAACACAACATTGACATATTATAAACTTATAAAGTCGTTTTGACAAATTTACTAGCCAACAGTTACAAGTTACACATTCAACAGACACAGCTTGAACCCAAGAGCACAAGTCACAGACAGGCAGGCAAGATAAAAGTCCAAGTTTACTCAGTCAGGCAAGGGTCAAAACCAGGTAGATAGTCAGATCAGGCAAACACGTCTAGTAAGGAGCAAAGCTGAGAATCAGAAGACCGTGGGGCAGGCAGTAAATCAGGCAGGCAGAATCAGACTTGCAGAATAATGCTGTAAAGCAAGGCAGATGCACACCATCAGGCAGAGTGGAGATGGACTGGTATATATATTGCAAGGCTAATCAGAGAAATGGGGAGCTGGTGAGATGGTCGGTTATGAGGAATGGCAGGAAAGGGGTTACTGTAGGGCAGGAGGGAGTGGCCGGGTCTGTCAGGCAAACTTAACTTTTACAGAGGAGCAATAGAAAGCATCCTGACTGGATACATCACCAACTGGCATGGGATGTGCACGGCCCAGGACCGGAGGGAGATTAAAACTGTCATTGGTACCCATCTCCCGAGCATCAGTGCTATCGGTGAGCCCAAAGGATACTAAAGGACAGCACCCACCCATCCACAGCCTGTTCACCCTGCTGCCTTCTGGGAAGAGATACAGAAGATCATTTTTAGTGTCAAATTTGGGTCGGACTAGCATATGCAAAATGCATAATATCTCAATATATATTTAAGAATTTGATGCATTTTTGTAATGTGATCAAAGAACATGAATACCTGGAAGGACTGACTACTTATGCTTAACTTGGATGCACCAGGGTAAATGTTTGATTATAAATTTGGGTCAAATTCTTCCCCCAACTTCAACATTACATTACAAGATGCTAATTTTCCCCTTTTTGATTCACAGTGCTAACCACATCGCTGTCGCCTTTATATAGTTGTCCAACAAGACAGCTCTTTCCCACAAAGCTTTGGGAAGATAATGGAAATCGATGGTTGATGTAAGGCCAGATTAATGGTGGGTTCTGGTGAACTCAGTGAAAATGGCCCCCGCAGCCTTCAGTTGGTTTAATAGAAGGACATAGTACGGGCTTCTGATTTGACAAACTGCCATTGTTGTGGTTTTATAGGAGCCACAGCTGGAGCTGCTCCTGTGCTAGATGGCCGTGAACACCCCACCCCACTCCCCCAACACACACACACACACACACACACACACACACACACACACGTATGTTTGCATGTTTACACATACACATACAAATGCTCATGAATGATTCACGAGGAAAGGAATTACAGCTCGGCTTTCCTTCTGTTTCCCCATAACCAACTGCTCCCTTGTGCTCTCTAATAATAACTTACACACACACACACACACACACACACCACATGCAAAGTAAAGACTCATTGCACACAGATGCACCCACATCCACACATACATACATTACACACAGTCACTCCTCACAGCCAGCTCTCGCAGTTCATTCCTAGATAATTAAACAGAGTCATGCAGCGTGTCTGTGTGTGTGTGTGTGTGCAGTTTTACCATGCACGCAACTTCGACACACACTTGTGCTTTTGAGTGTTTTCCTCCCCTCCTTCCACAACTTGCCAGCAGGCTGTAGCTGAAAGAGAGCAGCAGAATTCAGCTCACTCACTTCGTCACTTTCCCTTGTTTTACTGCATTGCATCAGCTCCCTATTACAACACACGCCATGACAACATGACGAAATCTAAAGATGTTAAAGTTCTTAAATAAGGACACAGATCGGCTTTTATTGTGTTAGAGTCTAAGATGGATATTACCTCCGCTGCATGTATTTGTCATCTACTGTGGGCAGATTTGTGGAGCGGAGCTGCTAATATGAAAGAAATTATAGGATCATGATGACAGCAGTGATCGAGTAGTAGCTGTAGTGTTTCTAAATTATGCACCACTGATCTTAACATCACAGTGGCCCGTCTCACAGGTTTGTTCATCTTTTCAAGTTGTTTTGTTAATCTGTTATATTAGCTGCTGTAGGGTTTAGCTGGAATGAAAAGCTGCAGACACTCCAAGCTCCACAGACCAAGGTCCTCAATTTACAGAGGCTGATTAGGTGGATGTAAAGAAGATTAAAATCCAAGCAGCAAATTAGCACAATGCTACAAGGTGTTCTACCTAATATTCATACATTATTCATTCGTTGGTATTGGTATTGTCAGACTTTTTTATACTTTTTAATGTGAAAACCATGCTCCTTAATCATTAGATCTTACTGTACTGTTTGCAGGCACTTTCAAACCAGGCTAAGTGATGATAAAAAATTATTAACTTAACTTAGACCACCAGGATGCTCTGGTGGTCTAAGTTAAGTTAAGTGACTCCAACCAACTGTTGGATCAGTGTGTGCTGTCAGTCGGTGTTTGTGGGATGGAGTCTTTAGAGTTTGACATGTTTAGTCGGGTTGGGTGGAGTCGTAGAAAGTCGGACCAGTGTGCGCCGTTTTTCAACAAACCGCAACATTCTGAGAGTGTTACCTTGACAACTAAAGCCTATTCACAAGCGGAATGCCAGCGTGCACAATTTTCGTTGATGTCGAAGTAGGTTAGCAAAGTGTCCATTACTCCTCTCTCTCTCACTGACAACAGACCGTCTGTGAACAGCCTCTACTCTTCGTGCACAATCTGAATCAGAACATG